TATATATATATATATATATATATATATATATATATATATAGATAAATAGATAGATAGATAGATAGACAGATAGACAGATAGACAGATAGTCATATATATGTATATATATATTTATATATTTATACGTATATATATATAGATATATAGATATATAGATATATATAGATAGATATAGATAGATAGATATAGGTAGATAAAATAGATATGACACTGATATCGAGATAGTATACTATAATTGATTAATTGTCAGTGAAGTTCCTTTAATATAGGTATATACATTACTGTAGCATTATAGGGTGAAACAAAACGACTAGCTTAGGACCTATGTACTAGACAGGAATGGCAAATTGACGGTCTTTCTGGCGAAAACATTTGCATACAGAAGGAAATGTTATCAGCTAAAACTTCTAATCGATTGATAGATTCCCATGTCGATTAGAAAGGCTAACGCGAACGCTTGTGTATAATATTTTCCCAAAGTGGTGGATGTCCCGAGCACAGTAAAATAATTATTATCGTATAGAAAATTGACCTGAAAATTACCGATAAACAATAATAGTTTCAAAGATAAGATTTTACAAATAATAGTCAGAAATATTACATTTAGCAAATTCCGATTAAACCAACTATCCATCGGTCGATGTAAATTTTCAGTAGTTCGGAAATTTCGAAGCTGTATCATAAATCATCAAAGATTTAATTTTAGACAGAAAGGTGCATCTCATAAACTAAAACCTTGAGTAATGTTCACAGGTTAAACACAATTAGTTGGCCGAGAAAGCAAATATAGTGTCACTATATATACCGGTAAATGACTGAACAAAGGATTGTAAATTACTAATGTAGTCAATGTTATTTATGATTCAAGTTCCAGTATAAATGGTGGGTCTAATAATAGTAGAATTTTGCAATACGAATAATGCTTTTGGACGTGATCCCATAAGTTGTTTTGCATCAGATTACAACCAATTTGCAAATAAGAATCTTGTTACAATAACAAAACAAACATCTAAATTGACGAAAATCAGGCTGCTATAATATGTGGTTTCACTAGACGTGCTAACTAATCAAAACTTGTAATATCTCATAGTTGCTGATTATACGTGATCAATCAAGATAAAAAAAAAATCTTTGGCATAACGTGCAGGTATTTGCGTACAGTATAATAAGCATGTGTATATTGTTTATGCCATCAAGAGCTAATAAAAACTTATTTATTTATAGATATTTATTAGCTCTTGATGCCATGTATATACATGTGGTAGATTAAAAATTAATGTGTTATGTATTCTTGTATTCCACAGTTAAACTTCAAATATGCATTAAACGTGTTCAAATTACCTACGTTCATTGCCCGAATGAATAAAAGTGTATTCTGCTTAGCTATGGTGAACTGCTTAGCTACCCTAAGATCCCAAATCCGAGGTCATCCGTATTTTTTCCAATAGCATATTGTTCATCTGAAAATTACCGATAGTTCCCGAAATTGCGAAATTTCCGAATATTTGCGAATGTTCCAAAATTCCCCGCATAATTCCTGGAACTTCCAATTTCTATACGGGACAAAACGAATGATAGGCCAATTCTCGAACATAATCATATCTGTATACATGGACAGACCAACGTGCATACAACACACACACACACACACAGCGTGCGTGCGTGCGTGCGTGTGTGTGTGCGCACGCATCCAACAGAAGCGCGATTTAATTCACAAATATTGCAAACAGTAATTGAACTATATCCATAGCATTAATGAGAAATTAACAATAAAAAATTATTATTAATTAGCCGAAAAAACAAGAAACAGTAACAATAACAATAACAGCAACAGCAGCAGCAACAGCAACAGTAACAGCAACAACCGCAGCAGCAGCAGCAGCAGCAGCAGCAGCAGCAGCAGCAACAGCAACGGTAATAGCAAAGCAATTAATAGCCGTTAGCGACAGGAATAGATGCATAATGAAATATACGAAAACATACAATAATAAATAATAAATAAGTATTTTGTTATATCCCGCATTGCAAACGTCATCAAGATACCCTTTCAACAAGCAGGTGCACACACACGTACGCACGTACCCAGGCATGCGTACACACGCTGACACATTCGCGCGTACGCACTACGCAGGCATGCGCACACGCACGCGAAAGCACGCACGCACGCTACGGGAAAATGGTGTCTTATATAATAAGAGTGCTTAGCAGTATTAGGTCTTCCTTCTGTAACATATATGCATAGTGTGTATACCTATACTCAGTATGTTACAGATGACACGAACTGTTGACAAAATACAACGCACAACACGTTTTATTAATGGAGAATATTCTGCCGACGCACGATTTAGACTTCGAAGTTTATAATAATACTAATACTAACAAACATTTAATTGATAGTTGTTGGTGAACAAAGGCAGAAAACTGGCATTTTCTGACCAATTCGTTTGCTTAGCATGTTTGATATATGTAAATTTCGGGCACATTTTTAACGCTTTTAAAATTGTTATTTTTTAACCTATGCAGCTATGTAAAAGTAGCAGATGTGAGATGTGTCCACGGACGCGCCTTACCGCTATTGCGCATTACACCACTAACCGCAAGTCTACGTAAAGCATAGCAATGCCGCGTAAAGCCTAGCGCACACCTGTGATTTTTGGTTGCTCGTCGCTGCAACTTGCAACCGCAAGCGATCGGTCGCACGCCTCACCGCGTGTGCGCATGCAAGCGACTGCTGTTGTCTTTCCATGACTGACTTGTTTTGTTCAATGTTTTAGTAGTTTTAGAAGTTTACATAACACTAACACTAGATGGAGTCTCATATTATATAAGGCCATTCCACTATTAAAAAACCGATTTGCCGTAACTCACTCAAAAACATTCAATCATGTGGTAGAAAATGGACCCAATGAGACAATATATTAGTATGACTTATATATGATATTATATGATAAATAAAAAACAATTATATAGTATTATAAATCATAACTAAATAATGAATTATATATTCTACATATAACTCTTCATACGCAGGCTTTTATATATTTAAGGCAGCATTATTTCAGTGTTTCAGCTCCGACGAATAGAGACATACATACATAATAACAGGAGTTAATAAAGACAAAGACTTTAAAGACAATAAAGACTTTATTAACTCCTGATAATAACACACATTTTTCACGTGATGAGATGGTGCTCGCTGATTGGTCGGACGAGAATTTTTCATAGTTGCAAGTCGCTGTCTACCCGCACACATGCGATTTCGAAGCGATTTCGGAGCGATTAGGAGCGACGAATTGCTGAAAATCAAATCAGTTTGATATCTTGCAACTCGTTGCAAGCGACCAGAATCGCTACGGGTTGCAGTTGCACGTTCCCGCATACGTAGCAATTTCACAGCAATTTCGACTGCGATTCTAGAATCGCTGCCGAGTTGCATGAAAACGTCGCAAGTGTGTGCTAAGCTTAAGGTCAAAAGGTAGCGAGAAATTTACTTAGCATCGGCCTATCACCTGTCTACCTATTTATCATGATCTCCATCGAAAAGAAACGCTTGACATCTTGAGTCCTTTGCGTCTGACAAACGATCCAACGCCTGGCGCATCATGGCAAACGCATGTTTGCCGTATAAACAGTACGAGGGGACTCGTATGAAACTGCAGACAGATGACGGGGAAGATAAGCGTATTTGCCCATGTTTCACGGCGTCGTGCAAACTGTCATATAATTCCACATGTGCGCATGTAGTGTTTACACTATCTGCTCAAACAGTGCGAGAAATAGCAGGTGAAGATTTTGTGCATGGTCGCATGCGGACTGGCCAACTACTAACTAGATCTGGGAAATATATTTAAGCGTACATGAACGCGGATGAGTACGTGTATGCCAACGCGATATCAACCGGCTGGTGATATAAATATGGCGTATTTCACTGCACATGGCATTTTATCTAAGGCCATAGCAACAGCAATAGCTACACACTAGCCTAAATATCAGTTAAACGGGCATCATAAGTAGTAGTCCGTAGTAGTTGATAAACGTACATAGCTCTAAAACTATAGCCCTTCGCTCTGCCACAGGCGCTCGCCCCTCGCCAGGGCTATAGTTCTAGAACTAATAAACGTAATGTAATACACATGTAACGTAGTAACACGGCATCCGGAATAAGAGGTCAAAGGAATGTGCCACGGTACGATGCAGCACTAATGAGTTATCGGTGACACGGACGTAATAATTATAACAGAAACCTTGCACTTCCACATCGACAAAACAACATTGCTCATGCAAATAACAACGTGTAAATAGAGACGTGCGTGAAGCTATTTCCTAGTTCGTAGTTCGTAGTTTCTTATTTTCAAAAATAAGTAAGTGGACTCTTACATTACATTCAAACTCTCCACAAGCTAGAGTATAGCATGTGCGCCATCCACAACCTGAGCTACATCTGTTTCTATGGTGAAATAAAAGTGAACTACTATGGCGCTGCTGTAAAATAAGGAAATGGGTCTAATCTACATCTGTATTGTATTCGTGTATATTTGTATTTTGAAAATTTCTACATGGCAGAAATGTTGAGAATAAATGTCGGTGAAATTATAAACAATTTTGAGTTTTTTTTACAAGTCACTATACACTTTGTTATAACCACTTAGTCCGAAACAGAGTGAAGTTAGAGGCAGTGGGTTCACCATAGAAACAGACGTAGAACAGGTTGCGGATGGAGTACATGCTATTCTCTAGCTTGTGGCGAGTTTAAATGTAATGTAAGAGTCCACTTACTTATTTTATAGACTCATTTCCTTATTTTTTAGCCCCATTTCCTGGTTTCGCCAATATAGTAAATTTTGCATTTTATGCATTTAATGGCGTAAATGAAGTTCGTAGACACGCATGTAAAGGAAAAATATTGACTAAGTTAGTTATTTACTTCTATAATATTATTATAATTTATTTACTTATATATATACACATATACGCGTTTATATTTTTCAGAACCGTCTAGGTGTTGACCGATTGCGTATGGCATATGGAACAGCAGGAGTGGAGAGAGAAGCCCCGCGTCTTTAAATCGGAGGAAGGCAGCGAGGTGCCGGCGTCCGAATCGAGCATCGATAACAACAACACGCTCACGTCACCACGCCATAGTAAGCCGTTCTCGTCGGCCGGGCTGCATGTCGTCGGCGCACCGCTCTTCTCGTCGTCACAACCGCATGAGAGCAGCACCACCACGACCAGCAGCAGAGGCAGCAGCAGCAGCGGCGGTGCTGGTGGCCGTGCTATGAGTACCGCCGTCGCCGACGCCTCCTCTTCTCACGCCGTCGCCAGCGCGCATCACCTGGCTCCTCTGCCGCCGCCGCAAGGCCAGCTGCTGCCGACAGAAGACGTCGAGCACTTCTTTGACTATCTCGAAAAGCCGTCGGCGGCGACGTACGGCGGCACGACGTACCACGGAGCGCGCGCGCGCGAGATCATGTTTCAGAACGTATCGATGCAGTCGCCGGTCGTCGGCGCGGGACAACCGTACCAGGACACGCCGTCGTCCGTCTACATGCACGCGGCAAACAACCCCGTCTACGTGCCGACGTCGCGGCCGCTACTGCCGATGCAGTACAGCGTGAACGGCGGCGGGCACGCCGGACAGGCGAACACCGTCTGGTATCAGCAGCCGCAGGACGCCGTCGCGTCCTACTCCGTCGGCCAGTCGCATCATCCCGTGTCGCCCCGCGTCGGCTTCCCGCCCAGTCCGCCGATAGGCTCTCCGGGAGCGCTGGACACTAGCTACGGCTCGACGCGGCAACGCACGGCGAACGGACTCGCGTACGGTTACGTGACACATGACGCGATGTCGGCGGCTGCGGGCTGGCCGACGCTGGATAGCGGACTGAGGGTGAATGCAATGATGGGAGGCGGTCCGCCCGGGTTACCGAGACAAGCACCTGGCATGCCGAACGGTAGGTATAGACGAATGTACACGACGGTGTTCGTATAAATCAAAGAGAAGAAGAGAGAAAGAGAGAGCAGAAGCAGCGACGCGCGCGCAGAGAGGAGAGAGTAGAGAGAGAGAGGAGAGAGAGAGAGAGAGAAGAGAAAGAGAAAGAGAAAAAGAAAGAGAAGAGAAAGAGAAGAGAGAGAGAGAGAGAGAGAGAGAGAGAGAAGCGAAGGAGAGAGAGAGAGAGAGAGAGAGAGAGAGAGAGAGAGAGAGAGAGGGAGAGAGAGAGGAGAGAGGGAGGGAGAAGGAGAATGAGAGAAGAGAGAGAGGAGTGAGAGAGAGACGCGATAGAACAGAAAGGGAGGAGGAGAGAGATGCGGAGGAGAGAAGAAGAGAAGAGAGAGAGAGGGAGAGAGAGAGAGCAGAGAGAAGAGAGAGAGAAAGAGAGAGAGAGAAAGAAGAGAAAGAGAGAGAGAGAGAAGAGAGAGAGTGAGAGGAGGAGAGAGAGAAGAGACAGAGAGAAGGGAGAGACGAGAGAGAGAGAGAGAGAGAGGGAGAGAGAGAGAGAGAGAGGAGAGAAAGAGAAGAGAAAGAGAGAGAGAGAGAGAGAGACGAGAGAGAAGAGAGAGAGAGAGAGAGAGAAAGAGAGAAGCAGAGAGAGATAGAGAGAGAGAGAGAGAGAGAGAGAGAGAGAGAAGAGAGAGAGAGAGAGAGAGAGAGAGACTAACTAAGCAAGTTCCCCCCGCACACAGGATCAGGCGCAGGGATAAACCCACCCTATGTCCCAAATAAGAATCAGACTAAATTTCGCGACGTGCGCGAAAAAATATGAGAAAAAATTCACGTGATGTAGCGCCAGCACTCAAACAATTTAATTTACCCCATTCAATCCATCCCGAATCCATATATTCAGCGTGTATCGAAAGGAAAGCGAGTGGAAACCAGTAAAAGGCCGCATATATTGCCTCATATGCTATGCTATTCGTGACGTCAAATAACCAGCGAATTAGCTGTCAATCAGTGGCATGACATCAGCGCACAATCGCTCGACCCCGTTCTTGCGCATCACGCTACATAGAATGAGTTCGAAGAAACAGAAGTAGATAACGTCGTTTGCGTCCGTATATATATATATATATGTGTGTGTGTGTGTGCTGTGGCGTGTGCGTGGTGTTGTGTGTGTGTGTTTGTGTGTGTGTTGTGTGTGTTGTGGTGTGTGTGTGTGCGTGTGCGTGTGCGTGTGCGTGTCCGTGTGCGTGTGCGTGTGCGCGCGCGTGTGTGTGTGGAGCATTAAGCATACCAGTGTTCAATCTAATTTCTTGACAAAAAGTAGTCGCCACATGCAAGTATTTAGGCACATATTACTCAGACCTAGCTGGCAAGAAAACTTTTCGATATATTACGAAGAAAGTAATAAGGACGCAGTATAAATAGTTCTTTAATTTATCACGCCTATATAATAATCGTAACAATTTACCAGGATATTGTGAAATATAGGTATCTTGATTATATATAGATTTCTACGTGGTGCATATTCTAAAAGGTATACATGCTAGATCAAGGACACTAACACACGTGTGTGCGTACATGCGTGTGTATTTTCACGCGTATGTGCACGTGTATGCTTAACTACAAATTGTATCGATATTTTTATTTATTGCTGTTCCTCTTCAATATGTTCACACAAGGTACAGGTCAAGGCCATTATGAACGAACACCCATATCGAGCAGTTCCCATGGTAGGTGTCACTCCACACAATATTTTTCCATCATATTTTAGTTTGGGATAAGATTTAATTGAGCTAGACAGCAAGGGTGACAAATCAGTGAGATTCACAAGTACATCATGTAGGTCTAATATATATATATATATATATATATATTATAATATATGACATGTGTGCAATGGATTATAACAGTTACTTACAGATTAAAATATATTAAAGATTGACTTTCCGTACTTGTGAGTGAGTGAGTGTGTGCGTGTGCGTGTACGTGTGTGTGTGTGCGTGTGCGCGTGCGTGTGCGTGCATATAACAGTGGAGTAAATTGACATTTGAGATGACATGGTTAATCGATTTCATTTTGTCAGAGAGTGGTTCATTAAGTTCAAAAGTTAATTAAAATATATTCTGCAGAAAGCGGTCATAAAATAATAAATAAATTATATAAGATTCAATTGCTGTACACTATTTCAATCCCAATTTGCTTGAAGTTAAATCAATGCGAAACGTCAGTAACCGTAAGCTGACATGTTTAGAAGTATACCGCACCCCTGATCATGAATCAATGGTCAAAGTTCTATTTATTTTCTAAAAACGTAGGCATGTGTTTATCACGGGTCAATGTAGACGAATAGCTATAAGACAGTCTAACACCATGATTGACACATTGATAACACCATCTAAAACATATAGCACATATTCATGCACCTTATAGACATGGATACTCTCAACATTTTGCACGGGTACATATATAACTCTAATAAAGATTAAACGTTTATTGACAAATGAATCAAATCAATCACTTGTTTTATTTATAGAGGAGATATATCTTTATGCTCAAGGCAACAAATTTCATGAAATTCTAGCACCTAATTATGTTACCAAAAAATTTGAATTTATGTAAAAATGTATTTTGGATATTTCTCAATTACCAGAAAGAGTGAAGATACAAAATTTTCGCCACATGTTAAGCACAATATGAACTAAAATAACGCATCAAATTTTTCTTTAAGTTCATATTTACTGAGAAAAATAAAAACTGCCTAAAATTCAAGTCGCACTTCTGAATTTAAAATTTGCGAATAAAGAGACATAACTCATAAACATACGGCCCTAATAACAATCCCTGACGCGCTTTTTTACAGCAATATGTACATTAAAAAGTAAAAGTAAATCTATTTCGAGTTGTAATCACAGAGAAATATCCATTATTACATCGACTACTAAGTCAGAAATTGGAACGGAGAAATCAGCTTTTTCTGACGTCACCGCGGCTCACTACACATGTACGCGGCAAGCCAAAACGCTCTGACAGTCACATTTACCGTTATATGAAGAAATGAGCATGTATACAGGTGGCACATAGTGTTACCATCGATAATGTTGAAAATGAAATCGGTAAAACATTTTCTAAACCTGAGAGAACCTTTCTCTAACACGATTGTACGCTCAATGACGGGTAGCACCGGTAGCTTTGAACTGTAACTAGATATCATAGATAAATAGTTATCCGTAGTAAATGATAAACAAATGTTTTATTCACTCTAATGGTCCACAATTAACAAGGCTATATAATACTGATATACATTAGATCATAATAGTTATATATATAACTATATATATTATATATATATATATATATATATATATAATACGAAGATAGATAGCACAATAGACAATGACAGTATTATAATATATGTACTATAATATATTATGTATTTAACGTACTTATTATATATAGATATATTAGATATATAGCATTAATATATAGATAATTAGGATAGATAGATATAGGTAGATAAAATTAATATGACACTGTATATCGAGATAGTATACTATAATGATTAATTTGTCAGTGAAGTTCCTTTAATTAGGTATATACATTACTGTAGCATTATAGGTTAAACAAACAGCACTGCTTAGACCATGTACTAGACATGAATGCAAATTGACGCGTCTTTCGGCGAAACATTGCATACAGAAGGAAAAAAATGGTATCAGCTAAAATTTCTAATTCGTTTTATATGAGATTCCATGTCGCATTAGAAATGCTAACGCGAAGCGTGTATAATATTCTCCCAAATTGGTGGTCCCGCAGCACAGTAAAATAACTATTATCGTATAGAAAATTGACCTAAACATTACGATAAACAATAATAGTTTCAAAGATAAGATTTTACAAATAAAGTCAGAAATTACATATTAGCAAATTCCAGATTAACCAACTATCATCGTCGATGTTTAATTTTCAGTAGTCGGAAAATTTACGAATGCTGTATCATTAAATATCATAGATTAAATTTAGACAGAAGGCATCTCATAAACTAACAACCTTGATAATGTTCAAGGTTAAACACAATTAGTGCCGAGAAAGCAAATTATACTTCACTACTAATTATACCGTAAAATGACTGAAACAAGGATTGTAAATTAACTAATGGAGTCAATGTAATTATGATTCAAGCTCCAGTATAAATTGTGGGTCTAATAAAGTAGAATTTGCAATACGAATAAGCTTTTGGACGTGATCCATAAGTTGTTGCATCAGCATTACAAACCATTGCCAATTAAGAATCTTTGTACCAATACAAAACAAACAGTCTTAATTGACGAAAATCATGGCTGTCTAATATTAATGTGGTTTCACTAGACGTGCAACTATCAAAACTTGTTAATATCTCATATCTGCTGATTATACGTGATCAATCAAGATTAAAAAAACATCGTTGGCTACGTGCAGATTGCGTACACGTAATAAGCAGGTGTATATTGTTTATGCATCAATAGCCTAATTAAAAACCTATTTATTGATAAATATTATTAGCTCGTGATTGCCCTGCTATATACATGTAGTGAGCATTAAACAATTAATGGTTTCATCGTAATTCTTGTTTCCACAGTTAAACTTCACATAGTCGACTTAAACGTGCTCAAATTACCTACGTTCTTGCCCCGAATGAATAAAGCTTATTCTCCCTTAATCTTGTTGAAACCGCTTACCTACCTAAAATCCAATCGATGTCATCGATTTGTCCCAATAGCATATTGATCAAACCTGAAAATTTACCGATAGTTCCCGCAATGCGAATTCCGAATTTGCGAATCTTCCAAAATCCCGCAATAACCATCCCTTTTTTTCTTTTTTTTTTTTTCTTTCTGTCTTTTCTTTTTTTTTCCCTTCTTTTTGTTTTTTTTTTTTTTTTTGGTTATTTTTTTGTGGTTTTTTTTTTTGGTTTTTTTGGGGCTTTTTATTCCGACTTCAATTTCCATACGGGACAAAACGAAATATAGGCCAATTCTCGAACATAATCATATCTGTAACATGGTACGACCAACGTGCCATAACAACACACACAGCACACACGCACGTACGCATGCAGACTCGCCACACAACATACATACACACACATACAACCACAAACTCACACACACACCACCAACACCAACACACACACACGACCACACACACACACACACCACAACCACACACAAACACCACACACCACACACACACACACACACACGACACACACACACACACCGAACACACACACACACACACACACACATCACACACCACAACCACAGCAACACACACACCACCACACACACACACACACATATAGATATATATAGAATTCGAAACGCGCAGGGAAACCACTCAATTCCCATTTTCTCTTATAACGGCGTAGATATAGAGCTTAATTATTATTATTACAAAACAACTAATGTCCACCTATATCGGTGTCTTACAGACTATGGTGGTAGACTATTACCCGAAGGAAGACGTAATGCGTCACGCGGCGCAATGTTCGACACCTCTATGGCCCGAGACGGAACTGCGTCACTTTACGTATCATGGCCTCGCTTACCACAAGTGCAGCGCATGAACGGGGCCCCTTGTCCAAGAATCAACTTACGATTGGTTATGGATGAAAAAAACACCTCACCGCTTAGTGCTTAATGTATGGCAAGTAGTTAAACCAGATGAGTTGACGTGCTGAACCTACGTCTTGTTTTGTATGTGGATTCATTAACATTGTGTGTGATAGGTTATCTGTTTTAGTATCTGTTAGTGTTTTAGCTCCGACTTCAAATCGGTCGAGCTAAAGTTACCGCAGTCTTTCTCTTCGATGTACAATACTTTATAACCTCACCACATACTTCACAGAACACGCACACCACACACCACACCACACATCACACAACACACACATCACACACACACACACACTCCACCACCACACACACAACAACACACACACTCACACACACGCACACTTACACACACCCACAACGCACGCGCCACGCGCACGCGCACGCATACACAACACATACCATACACATACACATACCACAGTCACATACACATACACAACACATACACTATTACACAGTTTCCATATATTATATATGTATACATGTGTAATGTGAGTGTATGGTATGCGTATCCTAATGCGTATGCTTATGCGTATGCGTAGCGTAGCGTATGCGTATGCGTATGCGTTGCGTATGCGTATGTATATGCGTATGCGTATGTCATCGCATACGTGCGTGTTGTGTGGACCCACGGGACACCCATGAAGATATATGAATATATGAATGTCATATGAATGCTATAGTAGTCGTAGTATATATATATATAATACGGATACCATGAGATGTTAAAAGATTGAATCACCACACACTATGATTATATATATATATCTATATAATATCAAGAGTAATAATGGAATTTTCTATTATGGACTTTTGATAATAGTTGATATATATGAAATTCAATGCGCCCAAGCACGCACACACGAGTATCCATATCAGGAGTGTATAATAATAGATCTATAGATTATATAAATAGAAATAGAATAGATAATAGAATATATTATTACACATTCCTGTTCATATGACATCAATAGGCCTATGATGTACCTATACCGATCTTTGTAAAAGCATTACCGTTTTGTCCGTCGTCTCATGCGTAAGGGTATCGCGTGCGGCATTAACATTAAGCTTCACATTAAGATATCACATTTATTTTCGAAGTTTGGTGTTCAATCATCATACGCCCGAGTGGCGTAAAAGTCTATCATGATTAAATTGTTTTAATAGTTTTATAACGGCGCGCGACAAAGAGGAATGCGTTTCAGTGAAAAAAGGAATATAGGAATATAGGATAATTGCTATTATGCATAAATTTATACTGCTATATTATCAGGAGTGAATAATAATAGATTATTATAATAGATATAATAATAGACTATTATTATTCACTCCCGATATTATCATACAACTACAAAAATATCTACGGCCATACTCGGGGACCTGGGAGATAGGTTGGTACCGCTTATCAATGTTTCCCCCATACATGAGTAGGTTGAATACAGAACTATACGAGAATATCAAGATAGAACTTCCAGCTCTAGTAAATAATATTAGCACTGCATATTGAAATCGGATATTTAAAAATATTACTGTATCTGCAGATATCTAGCACTCGTAACTCAACATTTGCGGTTTTGTCTGGATAGAAACTGCGGATGTGTGCTTGGCGCGTGCCAAAGTTATTTTACAAGACCGACAAAATATGAAGGATGATAGCATACTCTGACCATGAAAGATGAACAATATCAAGAATATAAATTTTCACATACAAATATAATTTTTTTATAATTGACAAACGCGTATTAATAATGTGAGTTACTAACTTTTAGTCAATAATAGTATATTATAGTAGCCGAATATTCGGCCAAACCATGCGAATATATAGCAACAGGGACAAGTACAATATTGTACCACCCTATTTACTATAATTCTGCATGTGTTCAGCCTTGAAAATGCCACTGCAAACCAATATTTGATGAAGTACATGGCAGCCGGGTAACCGAAATTAGTCAAGCTATTCAGAAAATGAAATAAGCATCACGGTTACGCAGTGTTTGTCGTTAGACACGATGTAGATGCCCACATAACTACGGGTAGTACCTCGGAACGTATTCTTTTACACACCGTGTAGTGCATACGTGGAATGCGCTATTGTAGAATCGGCGGAAATAACCACGTTGAACAGATAAGTAGAATACAGACAAGTACAAAATGGCGTCATTGCTGCCTCAAGCGGAAAATTCGCGCGAGTGTAGCGAGTGTACGAGTACCGCGGCCCTCGGCATCCGGGCGAGTCCTTCATGCGTGTGTTGGTGCGCTGTGTGCTCGTGTGATTTGCTGTGTGCGCGTGTGTCCGCCTACCGGTTTTTCCCTCCGCCTGTGTGTGGTTGCGCCCGCCAGGCCGGGTGCGCCCTCCTGCATTACCGTGCTGCTGCCTCGGCCGCCCGGTTTTCTGTCGCGCATGTGCTGTGTGTGGTGTGTGCCCGTGTACCGAGTGTGTTGTGTTACGTGTGTCTGGTGTGTGTTTGACGCCTCGTGTACATGTGTGTACGTGGTGTGTGTTGTGGTGCCGTTGTCGGGTGTGTGCTGCGCCTCCGCGTACCGCTCTCGCGCTCGTACCACGCGCTGTGTGTCGTGCTTGCCATGTCGCTGATTGTTGTACGTGTGTATGTACGTTGTGTGTGATGTGTCGCACCCGCGGTCCCAGGTGTGTCGGTGTGTGGGTGCTTGTGTCGTGCCATCCCTCTGCCGCCCAACTTCCATCCGCCACAGTGGGCAGCTTCCGCCCACCCTCATTCCTCCTGCCCCACCCTCGCCCCGGTGTCGTGTCCTGCGATCCGTCCCCCCCCCTCAGTTTGCCCCTCTTTCGCCCGCCATCCCCCCCGACCCGTTCTTCTCCCCTCTCCTCTCATTACCCTCGCCCCGCCTCCCTCCTCGCCGCCTGGTGGGAGGTGGCGCTGCGGCGTCCGTACCCATCCGGGTGTGTGTGTGTGTGTTGGGCGCGCTGGGTGTGTGTGTTGTGCTGGGCGCGAGATCGCCCGCTGTGTACCGAGAGTGGTGTGTGTTGTGTGTGTGTGTGTGTGTGTGTGTGTGAGTGTACGCAGTGTGCCTCGCCCGCCGGACCGCGCTCGCCGCTGTGTGTGTTAGGTGCGGCTGCGTTGTGCGCCTCCTTGTGTGTAGTGCTTGGGAGCTCGTGTGCGTGCGGTGCGTATGTATGTGTGTGTGCGTGTGTAGATTCGCTAACAGCTCCGAACCACCATATTTGGTAAATAATAAACGCAACTGCGACGTACTCTCTACGGTGCACTGATAAACTAAACGATAATTATATATTAGGCATTATATTCAGTATATAATTCTGTTATACTATATTTTATTATTCCATATTCACATTCTTATATGTATACTATCTAGGTTACTAGTATATATACTTAGTATTATTATAACGAATATTACAGTTAAGGATATGTTAGGGTTGGGAGGTGATTTTCGGTCGGAAATGTTCCAATACGCCACCTTTATTTGAGAGATCGGCACTGCAGTGGGCAGCTATGTATACGTAGAAATTATTGTTTATGTAGCTCCCTGCTTAATCAATCCCCGCATTAGTCACATTCTTAAGCACAGACGTACAATCACTGGAAATATAGAAAGTGCTAATTCTCCATTGCTAGAAATGCTGAAGTTGGCTGAATTTTCACTCGTTATTTTCTCGAACTCACAACTCAATCCAAAATTTTATTGTCACGTTTCATGCTACACATATCAAGGAAAATCTCCTGGAATTTTGTTTAAATAATCTCTTTTATAAAGTTCTGCTCTTTGTTTACGAAATTTGTGGCGTTTTGAAAATCACTACAATTTTCGTACCATGTTTTTCAACTTTCATTTCTCTAATGAAAGCATTTAATAAAAATTAGGGACCCTTTCGTTAGCTCATCTGACATAGTCAGATGCGAGTTGTAGAATCGCATGATCGTCGTCCGTCGCCTCGCGTCCGTCCGTCGTCGTTCGTCGTACAAACACAGTTTGGCACAAATCAAACGGCTCGAGTCGGTCACGATATTCGGACGTGGGGGTGTAATCCGAAAACAACGAGTTTGGGATGTCGAAGCTGCGTGGGTCACGCCGCTCCGGATCAACAGGTTCAAGGAGCTGCTAAAGGAAGGGGGAACATTCACCTCCTTCAACTTAAAGGTTATATTAGGGAGGATGCAGAATTGGGCACAAATCTAACGGCTCGACCTAGGACTCGTGATGAAGTGCGGTTGTATGGCATCATGGGTAGGGGGAAAGCCATCACTGTGCTGAAATTGGGGTTCAGCCAGGTCAAGGTCAATCGGGGCACAGGGCAGATTTTTAGACATTCTATCTTGAGGAATGTTCTGCGAGCGACTTTTGAAAACTTTTTTGTTTCGAGCGGGTGACCGTATCATGGTTGTGTATGGCTTCTGATTGAAAGTGACATGACAATCGCTTTCCACTGACTCCACCGTGCCGACGAGAGTAGTAAGTGTTTCTGATAACCTTTTGACCCTCAAGGAGGGAGGGTAACACATGGATATTGTTACTGAGTTAACAAGTGGAGGTTCGACTGCTTTTGCGTATTAGAGGCCTCCTCGTCCCCGCACGCCGCTCCCCGACAGGCCCGCCGGCGCGGCCAGGTCTGCCCTGCCCCTGTCCCCACCCCGTCCCTGGTGCGCGGCGTGTCCCACCCCTCGCGCGACGCGTCCAGTCGCGAGGTATGGTGTCTAGGGATGATGTGTACGCGAACTGGTGTGCTGCCATATCTGCCTAACAGAATGTCGGTACTACGGCGGAAGACTGAATGTTTACGTTTCATAATCGTCAGCAACAGACCTCAGATGAGCACCAGACGCTCTGCGGCTTCTTGTTTCAGTTCATATTGATGAACAAGCTTATGTGGTAAAAGGTTACGGGTTCACTGCTTCGGGTTTTTTTCTGGAGGGGGGCGGAGAAAATTAAGAAAAAAGACGACATGTTTTTGGTATAGGCACTTCACGAATTTTGCGGTCACTTAGATTAGGATGATTTTTTTCTTTATCGGAGAGGCCCGGTAGAGATGACGCATCTCTCTTAGTAGGATATGTTGTGAATTAAAGTTTCGATGAGCAGTTATTGTTGCAATGCGGCGTTTACAGTGTTAGCGCCGTCCGGTAACCTGAACATATCCCTTGTTTAACGCAGGCGTGTGGCAAATTGGCCGAATGTTCGCTGGCGCGAGGTAATCAGCATGAGGTTAGGCGAAACAGTTGTAGAACAACGTTGTGGGGTCGGCATACACAGCGGTCCACTTATAGCAACTAATATGTATATAATATATTACATATAGTATATATATAAGTAGAAGTCACAACACGACACCGTGTAGAGAAGTTTATATAGTTGCATTTTGATGGGAGTCTATAACGCGTGTATTTTGTTGATTATTTTGATTCCTTTTCAAATCGTCTGCTGGCCGTATGAAGAGGATGTAATATGTCGAAAGCTTGTCAATTAAAACTTTAGAACAGCCTGCTATCTTTATGACGTTTGCGTGATGTTTCTATTATAGTATATATACTATTACGCTATGATATATGATATCATAATCATAGAGAAATTTCTTTTGGAACTAGCTCTCGCTCTCTCGCTACAACTATTATAACATATGCTGCAAACATAATTAACCTAGCTGTGTAGCATAATAGTGCGTTTTTACGTCGATTCAAACTAATATCAACTAGAATATAAGAGTCGATTTTCACAGTCGCCATCTCCTAGAATTTGGAGGGTATTACTTTATTCAAACTGACATTAACTATAAATTAAACATACGTGTTGTCCTGTTTCGCAAACGATCAGTTCTTAAGTAATTATATACTGCACGAAGGCTAAGCTGTCGTTTATAAAAGCGCATTTACAAAATCTACAAGCACACGATTACGAAATTCACAAATTTACAATTACACATTTATAAGAATTTACAAATGTACAAACACACATAATTTACAAAGTAATATGGTTTTGTTTTGCAGCAATCTGCATCGCGTAGAGTTGGCCTGTCGTGCGCCAACTGCAACACAACGACCACGACTCTTTGGAGAAGAAACAACGAAGGGGAACCCGTCTGTAATGCGTGTGGACTTTACTATAAACTGCATAATGTAAGACTAATACGTGCGTCTCTCTTTATAAACGGAAGATAATCGTGTGGCTCTGTGTAATTATGATATTTGTAACTTCAATTAGACGTAGACACAGCACGTGGCATATAGAAACGTACACACTTCAAAAAACCCGAAGAATAGCAGTAAACACTAAACAGAGGTGGCCAGGTGTCAGAGGGGCTTCTTTTGTGATTATATTCGCCTTGATTAAAATAGAAATAATACCTCAACCTATCCTATATGTTCGCAATTCACGATGTAACACAAATGTATCGGATACATGTTTTAGATTGCAAGGCCTTTAGCAATGAAGAAAGAAGGCATTCAGACACGCAAAAGAAAGCCAAAGACTGCCAACAAGAAAACCGCCAACAGCAATGCTGAAAGCACGAAGTCTCTTGTCATGTCTAATACAAGCACAATCCAAGAAGGTGAGCGAGCATCGACACCATATCGAGTTATTATTTCAATGTAAGCCTAGTCGTTGAGGACAGATTTACTTGATGTCTTCATACTTGCACCCTATCTGCGCATATATGACACGTGGATTATTTGAAGAACTCATACGACATAAATTTATTTAGAATAGTAGAATAATATAAATATTCTAATTAAAAAAAACAATGACCTTTCCATTTTGTTGATAGCGTTATCATTTAATTTGTTACTTTGCTGTCGTCTAATAGATATAAAACCAGTGATGACGCAATCGGAATCTTTTGGGCCCCCACCGCTGCCACCCCCTCCACACATCTCCAGCCTTATAGGTATGTACTTTAGAATGAAGTTCTATAATATCAGTCGTGAATAATGATATGACAACATATCAAGAGCGTATTAAGTATATACTAATCCATAAACATATACTCTATCTCGCGTTCTCTCTCTCTCTCTCTCTCTCTCTCTCTCTCTCTCTCTCTCTCTTTCTCTCTCTCTCTCTTTCTCTCTTTCTCTCTCTCTCAATCTCTCTCTCTCTGCGTTTCTCTTCAGAACTAAGAATGTTATTAATTACTTACAATAATTACTTACAGATATCAAGCCAATGTACAGCCAAAAAGCACTGGACGTACACAATAATCCGTACGCCCATGCTCTGAGCACGTCTCACATTGGCCTTGCATCGACGCGGGGCATGGCCATTCCTGGTAACATGGATCATTCACTGCATCATGGATCCGCGGAGTCTGTCCCTGTGATAAACCCATCGAGCTTGCACTCGCCCGTGACAAATGTCTATTCTAATGCAACATCTTCCTCTCCTAATCAAGCAAGCATGGACGACATGGGCCGACCTAAAACCACCACGTCGTAGTGCAATCGGCGTGTTGTTAAAATCGCAGAGAACGCTTGAATTTGGCATACCCACCGCAGTTCTTTTTTACGCCCATCTGTTTCTTAAGTTTATTCAGAGTTTAAAACGTTGTAAAGTGTAGTTGAATATAGACTGATGATTTTTTGTAAGTAATGTAGCAAAAGCAGAAATGTTGGGTGATATGCTAATTTAGTGTTAATGACTCGTCCCATTAGATACGACAAATAAGACACTTCTTGAATATGGTATAGCAATTTCTATGATTACGTCACTTTTGCTATTGTATGTTTGGCGTCTTGTACCTCTCGGGTATTACTATGCTATAAGAAGTGATCCCTAGCAAAAAATCATTATATATCAGACAGTATTAGTTATATACGTCACTATGTGTGTGTGTGTTGTTTTCCTATCTATCTATTCAGACTATAGCATTGCCGCAATACTGAAAATTATCGGAAACCCGAGTGCGATCCACGAAGATACTATAGTAATCTAAGTTGCACGATAGTGAAGATGACGAAATGAATGCTCCTCGCGGACTCGCTCTGTTCGGTGGACGTGTGACAGCATAGTGGCGTGGTAGCACCATGCAAAATATGTCACCGTCGAATAAAGTTAAACCAGTGGTTGATCGTAATAGTTAGATACCGTCCTGCACATGGATGCGAGTATTGCACGACGATGTGTTCATGTCACCCTTTGTAAATAACGGTCGTAGAGGTTATCGTCATTGTACGCGGTAGCGTTGACTGCACCGCCCCCTACCGTGTGTTATTGTTACTGTTGCACAGTGATCTTTATCCGGTGTTACGCACAACCTAGAGATGGGTTTCGTGACGCATTTTTTACGCAGTCGTGCTTGAGATGCGTATATGGTGTGACTCGCCACGCATTAGATATATATCAGAGGGTTAATAATGACAAATCTGTTATTATTAACTCCTGATATACATGTGCGTCGGCGTTGCCAACACTCGGATAACTATAGGAAGTTTTGCTTATAATCTTCGTTATCGTATATCGATATCGTCTTTGTGTATATGCGGCTTGATGAAGGTTTCGTGAGAGTTGTTAGTTGACGGAAGAGATTGGTAGAGACGTACGTTGGTTTTGGAAATGTACTGTTTCAAGTACTGCGCTGAAGACGGTTTCAGATACCTCAGCATTTGGGTGTGATGTTCTTATCAGACTGGTTACTACTAGCATAATTGTGATTACGCCAGACGGTTGACGGGGCATATGAGGTTTAGTTTAGACCAGGGTGATTTTAAAACGGCTATAAAGTTTATATATTCGGCTCCCCAAGCATTTATTTATGTATGCCTCTATATGAATTGGGATTTACGTGTAGGCCTTGTTATACTGGTTTCTTACATTAAACAAGTTCATGAAAAACGTAAAATTTATGCAATAATAATCGCGCTAATGATAGCAGAACGAATATATTAAAAATTTGCAATACACCGGAAACTTTTTTTTTCGCAGGACACAAGTGTGAGTGGCGAGTGCACATGTTCTGTAATATCACGATTTGTCAAACTTGAAAGTCTGAAATTGATCACGAATGGTAACCGCTTATATGGAAGTTGACTATATAGAAACGACACGATATAGACACGAGTAGAAATCCTGCATATAATGTCATAATGCTCACAATGTCAATAATTATGATTATGTCAAGTTACTGTGCCGTTGTACAATGTCATCGGCACTTATGCTTCTCTAGCTTGGTGGCGCCACCTAGGTGAGGATGGTGCGACCGAGCTCAAATAATGTTACTGATACACGTATCATGCGAAAGCTCATTTGACTGTATTTACGGAAGATGTAGCAGTTAAGCCCATGGAAAACTATCTATACTTTTAGGTATAGGAGAGGCATTTAATTATCCAACAGTCCGCATTTAAAAAAAGGTTTGGTCAGTTAATATAAGAATATATTAACAAATGCATCGTCGTAGATATTAATGAGCATTGCATGTTATTTCAGAGACGAAAACAAGGTTTATTTCTGTTTTTGTGTGTTTTCAATATCAAGATCCAGGTAGTTTTTTCATTTCAGTGTTTCTTCGAAAAAACAACCGCGCAATTTAGCTTTGAAGTCTAATTGTAACGTGCCTTACAATTATTTAGTTATATTATAGCGATAGCATACATATTTCGTCATTACCTCAATATCAATAACCGTACTATAATCCTACACGTAGTTCATTTGTATTCTAGGCATAAAACCAAAGAAACAGGTATTGAATGCTTTTTGTAATAAAATACAATTAAATAAATAATTGATACCTTATGATAATATGAATGGCTTACTACCAAATAATATAAATAAGATACTTCACAGAACTTATACGCATTGAGATTTTCTTGTTTTTAAACACCTGCAAACATAGACAAAACTGTGAAGGTTGGCAGAAGTGGATCGTGTTTGACGTTATTGATTGAAGTTTTCCATTTTCTTTCAAGAACACAAAAAGTGCAGAACAATATTTGTTGCGAAATAAAATAAGGTCGAATGCCGGACTTTTATAAAAGCCGGTTGAAAAAAATAATAGTTTTGGCTTTATCGTATCTGTAGAAGTTATGTGCTTTAGACATAATTCGCGCCATCCAAAACTATTAGGCATACTAGAGACGTAATTCATACAATACTGTATCAACGTAAAACAACATGCATAGTAAATAAGAAATGTGCGCGAAAATCTTTTAATTCAATACATAAAACGTAAACCTTTTGGTGGCTAAATTGGCAAAGACAAAATTTCAATGTGACGATGGTATTTCTACGGATGCTAGTCAACGAACTGATAGTAAAGTGCTAGATATGATAATTCTGTCTCTCATCTTGCGGTGTCAATTTCCCCTGGGCGTAGAGGGAGGGTGCCGCTACGTGGCA